AGAAAGGGGGGAGGGAGCTCTATCTTTGCTCTTTTCTGTCAGCCGAAACATTAAATTTTTTATCACGTTAGCTCTAAAGACATTTCCACAGAATAGGCCAAGCGAATGTCTTGTCTTCGTTTTCTATCTTTGGCTACCAGTACTACCACATATCTGTTTCAGACAACACGACAATTATTGCCCCCCCCCACCCCAATCACCCCTGTTGGCGTAGGTAAGTTAGGTGTACATAAATATTTGTATAATGATGCGTGATACATGAATGTTACTTACACAACAGTGACTTCCACGATCTGTTCTTGACCATGTCTGTTCTTACACAACAGTGACTTCCACGATCTGTTCTTGACCATGTCTGTTCTGCTCTGCGTGTCTTCCAGTGATAGGCTACGGTCTGCTGGCCATTGCTCTTGCCTGGATCGTGTCAAACCTGGGCTCTGTCTTACAGGTACTGTCTTCTCATGCCCACAAACCCTGCCCAAAGCCGGGAACGGTGCCGCCTCTAAGAGTTAAATCCAGAAGACGGTTTTTGTTTGTATTAGCCACGCCCTGGCTTTAATGCGTTGTTGAATGTAAGCCCCAACTACGGTGGTCTGGTTGGGATGATTTTTGTGATTTGGTAAATCCTGGTTATTTTTAGACAATGCACCTCGTACACAGTCAAACACTGTGGGAAATTGCAAGGCTTCAAGATAGCTTGGGCATATCACTTTAGAGCGTATTTCGCGGCTCTTGCAATATACTACGTTATAACATAGGATCTTTTAAAAAAGGATAGCCTAGTTAAAAAAATATTCTTGTAACAATAAAGGCCTTTGACGTAAAATAGCAACGAGACACTGAATTGTCAAACATGTTTGACGTATCTTGTTACATGTTACAATAACATATTCTTGTAACGTGTGCGTGTTTTTATTCTTGTTATATGTTTATTCCCTGTAAAGTGATACCTTTTCAGATTTATGGCCAGCGATATAAACATCCTTTAACAAAGAAGGTGGGTGGTTGGCGGGCGCCTCGGGGTGACTTGCTCTGTCGTCCCCGTCAATTATCTGTCGTCCTTATTTCTCCTCCGTCTTGTCTCTGTGTGTGACTCTTTAGTAACACTTAGCGTCTTCGGCACTGGTATGACCTAGATCTAGTTGTGTTACAAGTGCCGTAAAACTCTTACTTAACACATTATAGAAAAGCTACAACAGAACAAGGAAGATATTGACGAGAACATTCTGGTCTGTCCACAGGCTGTCTACATTGTGTTCGGCATCCTCAACGGTCCTCTCCTGGGAGTGTTTACTTTGGGCATGTTCTTTCCCTGGGCCAACAAGCATGTGAGGCGGGATCTTTATTATTGTTGTTGTTGTTCTTCTTCTTCTTCTTCTTCTTCTTCTTCTTCTTCTTCTTCTTATTATTATTA